TTGTTGCATAAATATGGGCTAGGGACAGGCACCACCTCGGAAATATAAATATTGCGCTGTAAAACACAGGAGAACTAATTTTAAACATAATTAAACGATTTCAAATTCTCATCTGGTGGATGGGGGGAAGTTCTCGTGACATCACTTGTGCCAAAATAGCAGCGCCGTTCTGCGGCAATACGGCGTGCCGGCAGAATTCGCCTAGGCCTGAACGCGTTTGCAAAACCTTGGCGGAGAAAGCCAAAGCAGGCCAAAGCGTAGTTGGCCACAGTGAGCTCGTTCTCGTTGCGGCTCTTTGCACGACACGGCCCGAGCATGCTTCTGGCACGGCCGGTGTTAGTTGCTGCGAGTCGCGAGCTGCAAGCCGACGTTAAAAGGGATATGTTGTTTGTGGATCCTGCGTTCTTGATCGTCGTGGTCTGTTTTAAGTACTCCTTCCTTTTTTCTTGCTGGTTGAAGTCGGGACGCACGAGAAGAGCACGAAGAAAAATAAATGTCCGTTGGTGGCCGATACCAAGTAACCGAGCGACGCTGTCGGCCTTGTTGATTTGATCGTAAAAAGTGCGTAAGACAGCTTCGGAGCTGTCGTAGGATTCTGTCGTAACCTGCGGAAAGGTTACGACAATTTCGTTTCGAGAGCACGGGTTTTCTCTCAAATTTGTCGTACGCACTTTTTTCGTCGTGAATTCGCTTTGAGAATCCGGCCTCAGAGCTGGTTGGATTGGATTGGATTGGAGTCTGCGGCTCTTCCCTTTGTATCGGGCGATCAACAGCAACGGATACTGGATCTAGCCTGTCGCGCCTCCCGCGACTTCCGCTTCCGCTTGATGTTCCGCTGATCGGTTGCATTCCCTCCGCCGATGCGTCTCCCTCCACCAGACCTCCAGCCGCCTCTTCGTCACGTCTACCGCCGATCGAACGTTCTTTTGTTCTTCCTCTCCTTGTTCTGCACCGATTCGGAAACCGAGTGCTACAGGTAGCACCTCTGTACTTGGGACCGGTACAATGTGCCGGCACTGCAGCACTAGGTGCTCCATCATCTCGTCGGTCTGCCCGCAGAGTGTGCACGTCCTTTCCTGTCCCTCCGTGAACCTGGCCCTCCACACCCGGGTCCGTAATGTGCCCATGCGGGCCTCTGCGAGGAGTCCACTGCCTGTCGAGTTGTCATACCAGGGCTCTTTCCCTATGGCCTCCTTCTCCGCGTAGTACATCGCGAGGGACGGCTTCGCCGCCGCTCCCGCTCTCCATCTCTCCGGCTCCACTGCTCGGATGCCCTTTCTGATTGCCGCTGGGCCCTCCCGGCTCTCGCCCGCTGACTCCAGACAGATCGGTTCGAAACCATAGCGGTCCCGCAGCCTTCGGAGGCTGCGGGACCGCTGCCGTGGTTGCCGACTTGCCGTGGTCCCGTGGTGCAGCGTGCGTGCAGCCCTTGCACATCTCAAACGGCCACGTTGTCACAGGTCGTAAATCGTCGACGCGCCACCAAGTGGCAACGCTCGTAACCACAACATTCACGCCGTAGCCTTTCCCGACCGGCACAAGTGACGTCACGAATGCGCCCAATATCCCAAGAAGCATCGCGCCCTCCGATGGCCGATTTTTGAGCGCGCGCCCAATCGGGCCCATCAGGGTGAAAAATATAGCCATCCGTTCAAAATACAAACGCGCGATTATGATTTATGAATATCATTGATCATATTGAACCTGTTTCTGACCATAATAGGTGTATTTCAAATTTCGCTTCAGTATCCCTTTAAAGTAAACTCCGCGGGCGAAGTTTTTGACTTAAAGAAAGTTCACTGCCTCATCTGCAAAAAAGCTTTCGCATATAGCGGAAGTGTAAGCTCGCTTCAATACCATCTCAGAGCTAATCACCCAAGCATCTCGCTGCAACAAGAATCATCTGCAAAAAAGCAGACGACTATCAACGTTTTCTCTTCGAGGCCGGTTTCTCCGAAGAAAGAAGAAATTATTGCACATGCCCTTACATCTTGTCTTGTTTCTTCTAGCCGGCCTCTCAACATTGTGGAAGATCACGGACTAGCGAAAGTTATTCAGATTGCCTTGGATTCTCCGTCTTACCAGCCGCCGTCCCGTCGTGCAGTGAGTGCCAAGGTGGATGCCCTGTATACCTCGAGACGGGAGCGTCTTCAAGCAGAACTCTCGGCAGCCAGCTTCACCAGCTTAACAGCGGACTTCTGGACCTCCATCGCCAATGACGCCTACCTCGGGATAACGGCGCATTGGATCGACGACGACTGGATGCTTCGATCGGCAACATTGCAGGTGAGAAACGTACCTGAGCGCCATACAGCGGAACAATGTGCCAGTGAGGTATTGGAGACTGCTACAGATTGGGGAATCGTTGAAAAGGTAAAAGCTGTCTGTACCGATAACGCCCGCAACATCTGTCTTGGGGTGGAGAGAGCAAACTTTCAGAGTCTGAAGTGCGCAGCTCACACGCTTCAGCTGTGCGTCCACAAGGCGCTCAGCGTGACGGGTATGGAGCGACTGCTAGCCGCCTGTCGTCGTACTGTGGGTCACTTTAAGCACAGTTCGAACAACCAGGCCGTCCTTTCAAAACATGCCGCTGAACTCGGAGCACCTAAGAAGAAGCTTTAGCAGGACATCGCAACACGGTGGAACAGCACGTACATAATGATAACCAGCCTGCTTGAACTGAAGGAGCCTTTGCGCCGCTCCATGGAAGACAACAGTACCATTAAATCGTCGATTCCCCACCTCACAGACGTCGATTGGGACATGTTGGAGCAGCTTCGGGAAGTTTTGAAGCCCCTGCTCGACATTACTGAGCTCCTTGGAGGGGACAAGTACGTTACTCGGTCTGTACTTATTCCAGGCTTAAAACTGCTAAAGAATAAAATGAAGAGGAATGACTGTGACCCTGCCTTCATCTGCCGCTTCAAGGCCATGCTGGTGGACTCTATCGATGAGAGGCTTCGCGCGTGGCCGCAATACAACGACTATGAACTGGCAACGTGTCTCGATCCTCGTTTCAAGAGCCTCGCATGCATCGAAAAAGATCCCCGCGAACTTGTGTGGGAAAGGCTTTCCCAGCTAACACATGCGTCTTCGGACGATTCTACTGATCTAACGCCCAAGAAAAAAAAGAAAATACGTTTTCTCGGAGGAAAATGAAGAACCCATCATCTCCTGCCAAGTGTCGCTTTATCGATCGATGGCCGAGGTGACGGACGATGAACTGGACCCACTACAGAGGTGGCGAGCTCAGGGCTCCCTGTTTCCTCAGATTGTGCCAATTGTGAAGAGTGTGATGTGTGTCCCAGTCACCTCAACGCCCTGCGAGCGTCTGTTCAGCGCAGCAGGGATGATCGTCAACAAACAAAGAAACTCGCTCCTGCCGGAAAATGTCAACAAACTTCTTTGCCTCCGCAGCTGGGTTTGTGATCTGTGAGTGCGTTACATCAACGTTTATTCTCAATTAAGTTTGTATATATGCGCCGTTTATCATACAATAAAACAAATTGTAAGGACAAAATGTCTACTTTTGCTTTTTACTAAAGTCAACCGATTAATCGATTAATTAATCGATTAAAGGGTAGCGATTAATCGGGTTGAAATTTTTAATCGACACCCAGCCCTAGTGGGGACACATTAGTTCTTTTAGAGATGTGTTTTAATAAAAGCTCTTTGACTCTTTCCTTACTCTGGTACGTGTCTCTTCTCTTCAGGTGTATTCGAGAGAGTGAAACAAGGTAGTCGATCATTGTCACCGACAGAGGTAATTTATCAAACCGACCCGCGGTAATGTAGCCCTAAACGTCGTATGTATTGCCGCGGAGATGTGGAGACCGCGCTACTAGGTTTGACATCTTCTTTGAGATCGCCGCCACTGTTGAGATAATCCTCTAATTACTCTATCGGTACCTATGTTGGTAGCTAGCAAATCCCACATCTTACACTAAATTCCGACGAGCAGGAAGCTTCTTGAACTTAAAGAAATTGTGTGTGTGCCGTGTGTATTTCTGTACTTTTTATAACACAATCACTGTTCCAAAGCGGCCGTTACAAGCAGGCAAAAGAGCAAATAACGCGCCGCGCGCGCGCACACTTTCGAGGTACTTTTGCGACGCACGACGGCGCACGCGCAGTGAACCACCTCCTCGTGTCGTCGCGCTCGTCGTGTCTCCTGCAAGAGCAGCGCTCGCTTCCCCCGCAATATTTAGAGTCAGCGGCGTAGACTTCCCATTTTCCCGGGGAAGGGGGGGCAGGTTGAGAAGTTTTCCCGGGAAGAGGGGGGGGGGGGGGGGGGGACTGAAGATTGCAGCTAACGAAAGCATGCTGGGATTCCATTTCCCATGTATTTTGTCAAGTCAATAAAAGCAACGTATGCGTTATTTTGTTTTAGGCCACTACTATGGAAGCCCATTACATGGCACGTAAACAGCCTCACGGTAAGGATCATGGCCCGGGCCCGCGGGGGGGGTCTTTGCCCCCCCCCCCCCCCACCCCCCCAAAGTCTACGCCTATGCTTAGAGTAAAAAAAAATTCCGAGGACACCTAAACACTTTTTATGAGTCGTGAATGCGAAACCATGAATGTCGTTCTTCGGCTCTCTTAGTTCCTCTGCGATATACTGGCGTGGACGGCATCGTTTCGATACTGCCGAGGCTGCGGCCGCCGACGATATAGCTCCCCCCCCCTTCCCTTCTCTTTCAGGCAATGCCTCATTTAAGGGTTCATTTCCAAGATCCCGTGTGCAAAAACACGAAGTTTAGCATGTTAGCACGGCGTATAGACGTTTGCAAGCACCCCAGCTTCGAGACCTAGTCTGGCCACCGTGGATGGAAAACGCTTTGGTTGGGCGCCAGTTTGGAAAGCGTGGGTAAGGCTCAGCAATGCTTGATTGTCAGGCGATCGAGACACATCAGCAGCAATGTGGCTGTGTGCCCAGAGGTGGTACTTGCAAACGTCAATACAAATTATTTCAAGATGGTTACGAGTGGATCTTGGCTCACGTTCAGCTTGCCCTTGAGGGGGGCTAGTTTTAGAAAGGCGATGAACTCGTTGGCGAACGTTTTGATGCCGATCAGCTCGCCCACTATGCCGCAGTCTTCCCACGGCACGCCCATCAGGAACGCCAGCGGAGTGAACATCACCGTGAGCAGCCACTGTAGACGATCGCGAAGGACCTCTGAGAAACGGGGTCTAGAAATAGTGATGGCCAGTAGCTAAGCCGGTTGGTTATCCATGCTTACTGATTACCAGCTGAACGTTCGGAAAAGCGACGAAGAGAGAAACCAGCAGTGTGTTTCTTTCTCTCTTCGTCGCTTTTCCGAACGTTCAGCTGGTAATCAGTAAGTCTCGAAATAGTATTTACCCATGCAACACGGTAGGAAAACACCTGACATTGTCAAGTGTGGCCATCCTAGGGCCCAACTTTGGCCTAATAAGGTTTTAATTCAAGGCGTTAGTTGGGTCCAAAGTACTTTTCTTTCTGCCTTGTGGCTGTTCTCTGACTTGCCGTATAGTAGTAGAAGTGCCAGACATGAGTCAAAGACACCACTTGTCAACCAAACAACTAACGTTGTCAAACACGTGCCTGACTCTGGCAAGTGTCTGGCAAATTAGGTTCAGAGTGACCAGGCGAAAATTTACCAGCCAGAGGTGAAGTGGAATTTTGGCTTCTACTCGAGAACCGATGCCCAAAGAAGTGAGATGACAACCGAACGACCGAGTGGAGCCTAACGTCTGCACGTGTTTGGCAATATAGGCGCCAAGTTGACAGAGGGAAACCTAACAGTCAGAAATGAAGCCTAATTCTGGAATTTCCACTGAGCCTGAGGCTTAAAGACGCCAGGCGACAATTGGACTACCAGGTAGCGGAGGGTAACCTTGGTACGTGTTTGGTAGTTTAAAGGAAAAATAGCCTAAACTGCATGACAAACACTAAATTTCGGCCAAAGGAAGTATGCTGCCTGCGTACCGGTCACCAGCAACACAATTTAGGTAGCTCAAGTTGAACTTTTAAGATATTAGTGCAGTGCAATATATAAAATATTGATAGATTTTTGGTTTCGCCTTCAGGTATCCTCTGATCAGTGGATAGCTCTTCTTTATTTTTTTTTCATTGCTCTTGTGTTACGTGTAAAAACCTTACATGTTGAACATTTTGTCATAAAAACAGGCACTAGTGAGTCAACTGAGTTAATAATTCACATAATTATTGGTCTACATTCAATTAACCCCATCAATATATATGAATACTCATATTTTCTTAATGCTAAGTAGAATTATTTATAAGTACAAGCCCTGAAGACCTCTTGGTTTTGTCTCTTGCTAGCGTGATTTACGAAGGCATAAAATATTAAAAAATTGTTGACAAGGTTTTTTAGTTTTTTTTCGAAAAAGTGGTTTTAAGATCCATGCACCTAGAGGCTTAAAAAGTTTGCATTGTTAATTTTTCCGCCACACCTGAAGTAATTCTATATTTTTCGCTTGGCTCTGACCTAGCAGACAAGTACACTTTTGTTCATTGTTCAACTATCAGGGGCGTGATCTACCAGGGGCTTCCATCGGCGCGTTGCCATGAGATGTCCTTTTCATCATCGTTTGTTTCAAAGCACTCTTTGAAAGCTGCGGGTGTTAATATAATGATCAAGATATCCTTTTCATCTTTTGAATTTGATCATGTCTATCCGGCAGATTATTTCCCCATCCCTTTATTAGGCGCAGCTGCCTTATGGTGTCTGCTTCATAAAGTTCTACCTCCCTGAAGCCCCCATTCAACACATACCTGTATCCGCAGCCGAAACAGAAACTTCACTTTAATATCACTTTAAACTCATATCAACTGAATGCCTAGATATTTAAGTGTTTTCGATCTTGGCACACCTCCGCGGTGATGAAGTCCATGTCGATGACTGCTCCGGCCCAGCTCAGTAAACTGTTCAGGAAAGCCATGAAGGCGAGAAAGCTGACGAGGTTGGCCACAATGTTCCCGATGATGAGAAGCCCAAGAACTGCTCCGTTGGAAGCGGCCTCCAGGACGTTTTTCTCCTCGCTGACAACAGGTAACCATGTGGGCTCATATATTTTTATACAGGCGTACCAAATTCTTGCGAAAACGCAGCTATAAAGTTAATAATTAAAATTTTATTTATTCAAAATTATATAATATCTAAAGTGGCGAAGCGGACAAGTTGGCTCATGACTTAAAATATTAAAGTGCTAAAAGCGCACGCTATGAAAAAAAGAGGACACTGAAAGCTGCGGCAGCCAGCAGTCAATTTTTATTCATAAAAAAAAGAGTGATTTTAATGACACGTGGTGATGAGTGACGTTACTTGGTGATTCAGTGTATTTATATTCGTCTTTGTTTGCTTTAGCTGTTTTCAAATAAATGTTAAGACTAAGCACTCGTTGTGTTCGCCTTCCCTTTTCTTTTTCTCCTTGTGTATTGTTAGCGATTTTAATATTATAAATAAATAATATGTAATTATACTGAAATATAATAAATTTCAATGGTCCCTTTGACACATCTCACTACGTCATCAACACCTTTTCTGTGCGATGCGTAGTTTTTGTAAGAGTGATATAGCCCGCTTTTCAAAGAACAGCCAGTATATTGCTTCGATGAAACACTTGCATCCTAGAGCATATGAAATAGGAGTAGGTGAGACGAACATAAGCACAATAAAATAAACCAATACTACACCATTTCAAGCATTTGGACACAGTCGACTGATGCGCTACCGAGCTTTAAATAAAGAATGGTTACCAGTACGCGTTAAGAGGGACCGACTGCGTTGTGCAGCCTTGTGAACCCTCGAGATCGCTTACATTAAAGGCTGTGGCGATTAAAAGTTTTAACCCAATTAATCGCCACTCTTTAATTAAATAATTATTCAATTAATAGGTCTTGGTCTATTCCATGCATGCTATTTCGTAAATAGTCCAAATTAATATATTTTCTCCTCTTTTTTCTACTGAACTTGGACGAATGCGCCATATACAATTTTAATTATAAATCAACCTCAATGTGTGTTTGAAAACATGTTCAGGAGGCACTCACACACACAGATTAATACCTCAACTGCATGAGACAGAAGTTCGTTGTTAAACTTCGGCAAGAGCGAGCTTTTTTGATTGTTCACAATAGTCTCAGCTGTGCTAAACGGACACTCGAACGGCGTTGAAGTGGCCGAGACGCGTGCGACCTTCTGCACCCTTCCCCCTTTTTGAGAGGAGTTGCAAATCTTGACCCTACAATTTATTTTAGGCTAAGTTTGACCTAAAGTTTTCCCTTTATACAGGTGTACTCGTGCACGTCTGCGTATTGAAAACTTGCAGTTTTTACTTACTTTCAGGTCGTCAAAAACTTACTAATGAACGTTGAATTCATTTTTTTGATGTAACCGAGTGAAACACTAAAATATTTCGGTTTCTTCCCGAGCAGAAATAATTCAGTTATATTTCTGTTTTTGGTACGACGCACCAGGTTAGCAACGAAGTACCGTGTTTATTTCAGCTTTCGATTCTCTTTGGGATTATTTTTATTTTCAACAACCTTCATAACCCCATGCAAGCTAAATATTGTTTTGAAACATAACGTTGCTCCAATTAAAATTATTTTTATTTGCTTACGTTTAGTGGTTCGGACAAGAAACTGCCTACAAACAGCTTAGCGCTACTAGAATTATTAGATGCGTTCTCAAACTTTGCGTTAAGTAGTATCATGAATCAAATAACCGAAGATAAGCAGAGCTATAACTAAAAACCGTTACGTAGCCCGCCTAGAGCGATTACTACAGGCCGTCATAAAAAAAAAGATATAGCAAAATAACTTCTATAAAATACGCAGCGACACGTCGGGCAATTCAGAAATACAAAACAAATAGTACTCTTAACATTTTTATTATGTGATTAAAAAAATTAAAGCTATTTGCAACTCTGTAACGCCGAATTAAAGCTCGGCTCTTGAGGAGGAGGAGGGGGGAAGGGTACTAAGGTGGGGATCATGTGACCTCTGGGGGAGGGAAAGGGGTAACGTGACCTCAGGCAGGGGGTCACGTGACCTCGTGGGGGTCACATGACCTCGGGAGTTGTCACGTGACCTCGCGGCGACACGTGACCTGGGGGGAGGGTCACGCGACCTCGGGGGCGTCACCGGGTGGCATGCAACCCTGCGACTCCGGCGGGTGCGTGCGACGGGGGTTGCATGCAACTTGGACTAATTGCAACCTGGGTTGCATTTAACGCGAAGTTACGCCGACGTCAGCGGGTTGCATGCAGCCTGAGTTGCATGCAACGCAAGGTTGCATGCAACGCCGACGCCGCTTAAGCCGGAAATGGGCGCCTAAGAGCTGCGCTCTAAAACAATTGCTCTAGGGCGATTTTTTTTATTACTGCTTCACTTTTTTGTTTACGCATTTTATAGTGTCACTGCAATTATTTTTTTTTGTATATATCTTGTGCAGTGTCTTTGCAATTAGATCAACACATGTCGGACTGAACGAAAAAAGATGCAATTATTTAAACACATACGATTTATCATTTGTGCAGTCATAGGGCAGTCAATGAAAGTATACCAAGAACATATAAACAGATTACACACTGCAAAACGACAATACGCGGCCTTCAAGATCTGCGGCTAATCATGTTGAAACAGTAATTGAATCCTAGATAAGAGACTTTCGAGTTCGCGCTGTGTCGAATTGATTGCAAAGTCTGATTTTCGTGAACATTCGTAGACGCCGAAAAACAGAGGGAGAGAACATGAGGGCGCGAGGGACATATGAGCCGCGCGGTTTTATTGTAAATTACTTGTGGATAGTCGCAAATACTAGCTGCATTCGTCTCTAACCACAGCCTCCCTTTAATTGGTGCGGACAAGGGCGTAGTCTGCTCCTCACTTAGTGTGTCGCGTTCGGACGACGGACGCCGAGTTCGGCGTTCCAGCAGTAAATAGGGGAAAAAGGCAGCGACCCTTTGCGTCCACCTGCGGTCCTTCGCATAAGAGTTCGGCATTCCGATGTTCCTGCGCGCTATAACCACCGCCTCCTCCCCGCTTCCCTCAGTTTCAGACCGCATTGAAAAGTACACAGCGCTACAATTGGTTCTTTGTACGACGCATAGCAAAGGCTTGCCTTTCAGGCATCTGGATGTTGTACACGCTCGTTTTGCTCTCCTCCACCTCTGGGAAGAGCAGCTTGGAGAAGGCCAAGGCTGCCGGAGCGCTCATGAGGGAGGCGGTCAGGAGGTGTCCCGCATCGATCTGCAACACATTTGGTCGATGTTCTTGTTGTTTTCAAGGCGAATATCTTATATGCGAGACACTGCTTGAGAAGCAGACGACGCTCTTGTTTCCCACGATTAGCAGGAGACGGTAGGTGGAGACAAAGTGAGCTAACCTCTACGTCTCACTCATTCTTACAATCAGAGATCGACGATCTGACGTCTGCGTAGCCTCTCATTGCCTCCACTTCCTCGCTCTCTCCCAGTAAAGGTATTCACGGCCTAAGAATCTAAAAAAAGTAAACATAATTAGTGACGCCTTGCGTTTCTTAAGCTCTAGGTTACTATAAGCAATCGTTGCCGTTCAGCGAGAGTTATTTTATCACCGCTCTTGTGTTGGTCACTAACAACGACGTTGCTGTTTTTTTTTTTTTTTTAACACGAAATGCACTACACGGCTAGCCCATGTTAACACCTTCTATACTCGTTGTCACATAAAAAAGAATTGCACATTATTGTTGCGCTGCGCAAAGCAGTACTTTCAAGATTTCGTTGTCGGAGGAGGAAACGACGCCTTTGAGGTTTCAAACGTGTACGTCTTGATAAAGTAACACAAAGCTAATCTAAGATGCACATAGATATATCTTGAAACGAAACCTTAAGAAGGAAGTCAGTAACCTATCGCGGTGGGCCCGACTTGTTTAGCACGGGTTTTTAGAGGGCTAAACGAGTACAGATAACAAAAGGGTTGTGTGTGACTATTTCCATCACCTCCAGTAGTCCAAGAGCAGCTTGGGCAAAGTTTGAGTATGAGCGTCAGCATTCGACTAGAACTTGCGTGGTCTCTGCTTGAGTAGACGCTCGCCCCGAAACACAAAATAATTAGGACACTCGACGAAATTAAATTAATAATTAAAGCAAAATTCGACAAAACACACAATAAAATAATAAACCATACGCCTCGTGTGGCAGTAGGTAACCGACTTTGATTTGAGTTCAAGTAAGAAATATTACTGTAAGGGGGGTATACAACGGTGTCATTCAATTCAATACATTATCTCCATGATCATCACATCATCCCAACCAGTCCCATGACCCGTATTCAACATTTCAACAATACCCTCAGTGGAGCAGATATTGATGTTTTTAACCAAAATTTTGTAGCTTTTAAGACTTTTGTAACTAACTTGAGAACATTTTGTTGTGCATAATTATGAAGGCGTCAAGCTGTTCATGAGCACAGAAAATAAACAAATGAATGAATGAATTAATTATAAGCCTGGTATACAGGCTAGGGCGACTCACTGTTTTCCTGTTTATGGTGATGCCAATGTTTGTAGTGCCCGATTACGGAGGCTAGAGGGAGGTGTCAGAATCGCGCAGCTTGCTGTGTTTGCGGCGGCGCGCTAGTGTATCATGACGACGATAGGTGGCGCGCACATTGCTAGGTGGCGTTTGGGAGCACTTGAACTCACTCGGTGAAACGACGCAAGCTAGTCAGAGGTTCATACTCTCGCATCAGGGAGATCAATTAGAGGGAGAGGATGCGATACGATATATAGGAGGGGAAATTACGGGAACGGGTACATATGGAAGGTAGGAGAACCGAAGGAAGTAGCAGTCCAGCTTGTGACATTGCGGATTTCATAAAAAGAGAATGGATTTCAGACATTTGCGGATTTCGGACAAAGAGAAAGGCGGAAAAGGCACGTCGACAGGCACAGATGGGATTCCAATCAAGCTGGTGAAGAATTCGGGTCCTATATCTAAGGCAAAACTAAGGGAAGTAGTGAGCACTATGATAACAAAAGGAAATATTCTAGATGAATGGAGGCTTAGTAGGATGAGTATGGTATATAAGGGAAAGGGAGATAAGTCTAACATTAGGAATTATCGTCCCATTACCGTGACACCAGTTATTTACAGGTTGGTAATGCAGATTATAAAGAACAGACTGGAGGAATGGGTAGATTGCGAGGGCATACTGGGCGAGTTACAGAACGGGTTTCGGAAACAAAGAAGATTGGAGGACAATATAATTTCTTTAACACGGTCTATAAAAATAGCGCAAAAACAAAACAGACAGATCTGGCTGGCATTTCTGGATATCAAAGGTGCCTATGACAATGCGAACCAAAGGAACCTTTGGGACGTAGTGGAGAGCTTAAACCTAGATGAAGGACTAACAGCCCTATTAAGGAACATTTACAAAGATAATAAGGTAATTATAACATGGGAAAGAAAGGCGATGGGGAAGATAGAGGTAAGACGAGGCCCTAGGCAGGGTTGCCCGTTATCGTCTTTGCTGTTTATGTTGTGTCTGAGAGGATTGGAGGATAGACTAGAGAAGAGTGGGCTTGGATTCAACCTTTCATACAGTAACCTAGGCCCAAAAATTCAGCAATCCCTGCCGGGATTCATGCACGCGGATGATATCGTACTAATGGCTAACAACAGGACAGAGTTGCAAGAATTAATGAGCATCTGTGGTAAGGAAGGAGAGGAATTAGGTTTAGAATTCAGTGGTGAAAAATCAGCCGTCATAATTTTTAACAGTGATGAAGTTGAGAGGCTGAAGATACAAAATATTACAGTTAAGAGAGCTAGTAAATACAAGTCTCTAGGAGTATGAATATGTGATGGTGCAGAATATTTCAGTGAGCATGAAAAGTATATAATAGGTAAGGGCAACAGAAATCCAGCTGTAATGAAAAATAGAGCACTTTGGAATTACAACAAGTATGAGGTGGTGAGAGAGATTTGGAAAGGGGTCATAGTGCCTGGCTTGACTTTTGGAAACGCAGTGCTACGCATAAGATCCGAAGTGCATGGAAGACTGGAAGTAAAACAGCGCGGAGTAGGTAGGCTGGCTTTGGAGGCACATTGCGAAACGCCAAACCAGGGAGTACAAGGAGACATGAGATGGGCGTCGTTTGAAAGCAGGGAAGCGGTGAGCAAGATAGAATTTGAGGATCGGTTGAGGCAAATGAATGAGGACCAATGGGCACGAAAGGTTTGCAGCTCTTTATACATGAGGAGTATAGACACAAAGTGGAGGCAGCGCACTAGGAAATTAAGAGGAAGGTTTTTAGGCTATAGTGAAAATACGGAAGAGCAGGTCTCAGTTAAGAAGAAAGTTAAGGCCGCAGAAAGAGATCGTTGGCTAGACGGAATGGAGACAAAGACGGCTCTGGAAAGCTATAAATTAAGCAAAACAGTTATTGCCAAAGAAAGCATTTATGACAATTCTAGGGGAAGCTCATCGTTGTTTGAGGCGAGGACGAGCATTCTGCGAACCAGAACATACAGAGCGAAGTACCAGGAAGGGGGGGGGGGGGGGAATGTGGTGTATAAAACGGGAAAGGGGGTTTAATGGCTATGCGAAATGTTATTCTCCAGGCAGGGAAAAGACTCGAATAGCCAAAGGGGAAAGGGAGGGAAAGATGTGGATTGAGATGGGTTGAATATAATGTTTTAGCAGTTACTAGGGGAAAGCGCAAATCAAATCATTTGTAGGGTAGAGGGAGGGGGGGGGGGGGAGGGGCAAAGCGTTGCTAACACACGCCTAAAACATGGTTCAAAGTAAACGTTCCATAAAACGCGCGAGTGCCAACAGTCCCTCAATCGCTCCCAACATTTGGTCAATTGCACAAGTACAGCTCATCGCCGCGTCTATCGAAACGTGTCCGAATGTATGGGATACACGGTTGCCATCACGACGTTTTGGTTTAATGTGCGCATCATTGATCGAAACGTGAAGTCCGAAATGCGCCATGACTTCGCCATGTGCGAGCGTGTAAGGAATACTGACTGGATGCGAGCTCTGCATGTTGTGTTGTGCTTCAAAACGTCGCACGGTGTCTCTTTTGACAGTCACAATTGGTTGATTGGCCGATTTTGGCTCAGGCAGCTCTTCATCTCCTGAGCCTGCTAGTGTCCAGTGTTAGCGTTGAGAGGGCATTCTCGAAGCTCAGGGTCATATTAACAGGAAAGAAAGAGTGCGCATCAACAAGGAGAACCTGAGAAAGTACATCTGTGTGTGTAACATCACCTTCTGCATATCCTGATATGGCAGAAAGTGATGTTCATTGATTTTGGGCATATAGGCTTCATATCTGATTTGTTTGTACTTGTTTTCTTTTTCTTGTTTCTTTTACACTTGCACACATTTGCCAAATGAAGTGTTTATTTCTTTTTAAGTGTATCTGTGACGTTATTCTTTGAGTATCAGAGCTACAAAGAATATCAGAGCTACGAAGATAATCTGATACGGTGTCCGTCGGTGTTTATTGTATATTCACCAAAAAAAACGATAAACTTTTGTGGGCATAAATTTACGCCGATAAAAACCGAAAATTGAATTTTAAAATAAACACCGAAAAAAGTACGCCGAATTTTGAAAAAATAAAAACCGAAAAATCCGAACCCTATACATAGCCCGCTCAGTGCCATATGCACTGTGGGACAAGGTAGAACTGGAACTTTAACGACTTGAAGAAGGCATCATCACGGCCATAGACCACTCTGACTGGGCATCCCCCATCGTACCAGTGCTAAAAGCTGATGGCAAAAGTGTCAGGATTTGCGGGGACTGCCAATTTAGGTGTGAACCCTGCAGTGATGACAACCCAGTACCCACTGCCCAAAGTGGAAGACATCTTTGCTTCTCTGCAAGGAGGGGTCAAGTTTTCAAAACTAGACTTCCGTGAAGCATACAAGCAAGTACTCGTTGATAAAGAAACCAGCAAGCTCCTGGTCATCAACACCCACCGAGGACACTTTTCTTACAACCGTTTAGCATTAGGCGTCTCCTCGGCTCCGGCACTGTTCCAAAGTGGAATGGAACAGACTCTGCAGGGAATTCCGCGAACACCTGTCGACCTAGATGATGATCTGGTGACTGGAAAGACCGATGCAGAACATCTAGACAACACTAAGAAAAGTTCTTCAAAAAGTCAAAGACTCTGGACTAAAGCTCAAGCGAGAGAAATGCGAGTTCTTCAAAGAATCACTCCGCTATCTGGGCCATGAGATAAACGC